ACAAAACACTTCTGCATGCTCTCTATGAAGTATGATGGTTATCTTAAGGCAAAGCACTTATAAGATCGTTTGAATTGCAAGCTGAACTAGCCACTTTTAAGATGGAACATCACTTTTATTTGAAAGAATGACTGCCAAACCATGGTTATTCTGAACTGGGTATTTGGCACACATTTTTTCAAAAAGGAATTAAATTAGCCTGTCACTTCAATTAACCCCCCCAATCAAAAAACCCTGACAGGATTAGTTGCCAGTAATAAAGACCTTTCAAATGAAAATTTGATATTTTGGGGAAATATGTATCTGTCACATTGAGCTTGATAACTTCCCAAGACTTCAGTTGAAATCTGTGGTAATTTGCTATTGTGCAATAAAATGTGTCAACATTTGCAAGATCTGAAAAACCAATATTTTCCAAGTGATTCAATGTATAATGTTCCAAAAGCTTGCATGTGTAAAATACCCATTGAAAGTGTAAGACTATGGGATCAATTTTTGGTAACAGTGCAAAAATTTCATCGATACGAATTTAGGAGTCAACAACATTGGAACTTATCTTTAAGAAATTGTTATTTGTCAAGTTTTGGCTAGGTATCAAATAGGAGACTAGAAACAGATTATTGACAAAAACAGAGCAGCTTCATGAATAGATGCTCCTTTTAAATACCGTTTTTGGACACCTAGGGAGGAGGGAATGGTGATGGCTGAGAAGAATCAGCCAGGAAAGAAACAAGAAAATACTTGTATATAGAAGTCAAGGAAGGCAAGAGGTTGATCAAGAAGATGTCATGGATAGACAGAGGTAAGGGAAGGGGATTGACATCAAACCAAGGGCCTGTCTCATTTAACTGACTTGATTTATAAGTACTAGCCTGGAAACTTGGTACAAAGTCAGTTCAATGTCACATAGCTAGTGAATTGTCACATGTTGTCACGAGTGCTTGCTAAAGTCTAAGGAGGATGAGAGTGGAGAAGAGGCTCCTCTTTATGAAATGATTCTTGGTAATGTCCAGGGACCTCCCTGGTTCTATTAGAGTTGGACTTTAGGAAGAGGGAGTTGAATGGAAAATGAAAGCAGTAAGTATAGGCCAAGTAGGACAGTTTAATAATCAGAAAAGGTCAGGAATTTGTTGTCTTGGAATAGTACATTCGGAAAAGGCTATTTGAGGCAGAAGAATTATAAACAGAAAGCTATATTTTTAGGTGAGATAAATATAAGTTTGTTTGAAAATAGATATGAACTTGTGAAACCAGAAAATGAAATAGCGAAGAAGTGTGGGTTCTTGGTGTTAAAGCTTGTAGCTTTACAGCATCTTGTGGTGTATCAGGTGCTTCTCACACATTGGTTTAGAGCCTTACAACCTGTAGGAAGTGGGTACGACTGCTTTACTCATGAGGAGAATGTGGTTCAGAGAGCTTCACTACCATGGGGGGTCCATACTAGGGATAGCACAGAGAACATCCTGTGTTTCCAGGCAGTAGCGGAGGCTGAGAACGTAATTGCAAGTGCACCACAGAGAGTCCATCGGGGTGTGAATGACTGAATAGAAGCAGACAGGAAGGAATTCAAGAGCTTTCCTTTCCTTTTCTCCGTGTGGCTAAATTTTCAGTATGGTAGGATATTAGGGGTTCCATGAACATGTTATTGGGAGGAATATCACTTGCCATTTGCCTAATGAATTCCTAGGGAGTGTGAGGCCAACTTCAAATATAACTATGATAAAGTCATTGAATATTCAAATCTGCGAAATAGTAAAGTATTGTTGAGAAATGAGGTCTTTTTTCTAGCCTTTATCCCACTGGTATTGGGTAAGGTATACACATTCCTGATAAGTGATTTATTATTACCTACATTAAAGAGAATAGACTTTCTATTTAGAGGGGCCTGCTAGTTTTTTATTTGGAGGTCAATTTGGAGTAATAACTAGCTGAAAGAAAATCATCTGGCTGTTTGATTTCAATATTTGGTATGATTATGGAAACAAGTGCATTTCCATTTCACAGTATCAGTATGAGTTCCTGAGCAACTCATCTCTCTCAAAATGGTGCAGCGACGCTTTACCCAGGGGTCTTTCTGCCGGAATAAGAAGTTCAGTGAGAGAAGGCTCCGTGCATTAGGGAAGGAAAGATCCAGACAGCTTGATGTGGATTAACGAATTCAGATGGAAGTGGGGGACCTTTTATGGGGTAGGTCACTTGGATGACATTTTGGAAGAGAAAATAATATGAAAAGACAGTTGGGAAGCTTGTGGGAGAACTAAAATTGCAGTGGCTTAATGATTATAAAAGTGGAATAAAGAACATCAGTCTGTATATCGCGAGCCTGGGTAGGGGCTTAGAACTTCGGTAGCAGGAAGATCTAGGTTAAAAAGTAAAGAGAATAGTAATCAAAGAGTTGGTTGTCTCCCTTCAGCTCAGTCATTAAACCTAAAATTGCTCCCCAACTTTTCTGAAGGGAGAAGGTTTGGATTTTTTTTTTTTTTTAATGAAAACCTGGAGAAACTTGTAGTATCTGTTTTCAGACACATCCTGGAGATGGTAGTGACCCTGCTGCAAATGTTGTCGGTCCTCTGCTGCCTGTGGAACCTATACAGGATTGGGGTCTTCAGGAAAGCCCCAAGCGAGCTGTAGGCTGTGGCCTTGTTTGTTCTCAGGGTAAATTTTGTGCAGCCAACCTTGTGTGGCTACTGCTCTCTACCTCTTCTGTAGCAGCTGCCAACTGGGAGTCGTTTCTGGCTCCTTCCCAGAGTATTTCAGGTTGAACCAGAAGCTAGACATTCTGGGGCATAATCACAATTGGGTAGCAGTATGGAGATTGTTTCGAAAGGAAAGGGGGGTGTGGAGTAGAGAAACTGCTGAAATCTGCCCCCTCACCCACTTCTTTCCCATTCCATCTGCATCCTGTTGCCTCCCTCCAGCCCAGCTGCCACCTGAGATAAAGTAGCTGCCCTGCCTGAGCCTTGGGGTAAGGGAGGCAGGAGAGGGTGGAGGGAGGGCAACGCCAGTCCTCTTCTGAGTGGCTCAGCTCTTGGGTGTGCCTGGGTTGTGCTGATTAGGGTTGGTTTCCACCTTCCTTTCCCAACTGCTCATCTGCGTTGAGAATTAACATGTGATTTGAGGTGGGAAAGGACCTTTTGCAGAGCAACTTAGGTGTGTGGCCAGCTTACCCTGGTGTGGCTCCCCCCCGGCCCTTATGTTGGCTTGGGGCCACTGCCCCTTCACGTTAGGAGTTTAATGATCAGAAACATCAGGGCTCTTTTCACCCAGAGCAGTCGTGTCTTGGTTACCTTACTTACTCCTGCAGTTTTCCAAAGCAGCTAAAAAACATCCAAACTGGCAAACTGTTCTTCCCACCCCAAACATTGGGAACTTTTGAGAGCAAGCAAAGGGTGTGGTGCTTTTCCTTTCTTGAAGATACTGCCAGCCTAGTTTCCTTTCTAGCTGCCATCCTGGGCTCATGACTTAGCAAAACTGGTATGTGAGTAAGGGTAATACAGATGATCTTCTTGAAAGTTTTGCTTATTTTGATTTTTGTGATTCTTTACAAAGGCAAAGTTAGCACTGATTTGTTGGTGATATTGTAGCTCAGATGTAACATCACTATGTTGTTTCCTCATGTTATTTTTCTAAGACCCTTACCTGTTACCTGCAGATTTCCACACCTAAGCAAAATAGGTTCAAGTATGTATGACTCTAGGTATCTAGACAAGAAAGAGCAAAAACCTTGAGTGACTATAAATTGCACATTTAAATCTTTGTTATTTGTTACTGGGTTGCATATTGTTAAACTCCAACTTCTGTAAGCTGTTTGCTTTGTACATTTTCATTCTCTGATGGGTACTAATTTAAATATGTGAGAGAAGTATTAGAATGATGTGGACATTTTTTTTTTTTTTTTGAGTTGGAGTCTCACTCTGTCACCCAGATTGGAGTGCAGTGGCCACTCCCGGCCACCGCAGCCTCAACCTGCTGGGCTCCGGCGATCCTTCCGCCTCAGCCTTCCGAGTAGCCGGAATTACAGGCGCGTGCTACCACGCCTGGCTAATTTTTTGATTTTATTGTAGAGATGAGGTCTCGCCTGCTCAGGCAGGTCTCGAACCCGCGGGCTCAGGCAATCCACTCACCTCAGCCTCCCAAAGGCGCGGGATTACAGACTGAGCCACCGAGCCCAGCTGATGTGGACATTTTATTTGTCAACCATAATTAAGTGTCCTTAGGCTTTGGAGTATAAGATTAACCCTAGCTCAGCATTTAATACACATCCAACCATAACATTCATTTAAATGCAAAAAGCCAGAAGACCAACCTCAGGGAGAACCTGAAAAGGGCCAGGTTCTTCCAGCAGTGCTGTGGAACATTCTGAGAACACAGCCTGATTTGTCTACAGCTCTGCATGGACACGGTGTGTTACTGGGTCCTGTCTCTCGGGACATGTTTCACTGGGATTCTCCATGATTGACCCTTGAGTTGAAATCTTGGTGTTGACTTTCACTGTTGTGGGATATGCACAAGGTTGCCACCGAGTCGTCAAGACCCTGGCTTTTTCAAGGAGAGCTTGGATTTCAGTTTTACCCCAACATCTAACTAGCCTGGATCTCTACCTGCATGCCCCAGTTTTACTTTATTCCAGCCTCCTGTGGGCATTCGCCACACTGTGCTCTTTAAGGGTAAGAGGAAGGATAGGCCTTTTCTTACCCTAGTGCATGTCTGAAGTACCCGTTTTTTCACATGACATAAAAATAGGAATTGCTGTCAGACAACAACACTGGGCTCTTCTGACTCACCCTTTGCACTTGGAGTTTCTCTTTTACTGTTGTCTTAACCTGTCACAGCCCCTTAATTAGAATGTATTGCTTGAGGACAGGCAGCATTGTCAAACTTTGTGCATTTTATAAAAATATACAGAAGTACCAGACAAGCAGCTGTAGTGCGAACTCATCCAGATGCGAAACTGAAATTCCCCAGAGGGGCATCTTCATTGTTTTCTTTCTTTGTTCCAGAAGCAAAGGCCGATAATGAACCGAGCTGTTCACCGGCAGCTCAAGAACTGTTGACAAGGCTGGGATTTTTGCTGGGAGAAGGGATCCCAAGTGCCACACATATAACCATTGAAGACAAAAATGAAACCATGGTAATGCCTGAGGAAGACACAGCATTTCATACCTGCTCAGAGGATGAATGAAGCAATAACTATCTCTCCCCCTCTCCCCTACCTCCCCTTGAGTGGGGAAGTCTTTGTTTGGTCAAATGAGTTTGGGGCTGTTGTGTATTGAAGTGTATTTCCACAGTTTGGTTCTGGCTTTTGGCAGTGGGGGAGTGGAAACTTAAGAAAATGTCCACATTAACCTTCTAGTCACCACCTGCAGAATGGTGGCTAAATAAATTCAAGGGGCTAAAAGAATTTCTTCGTAATGGTACTAGTACTTTTATCTTTATAGCGCCATTCTTCTCGTCTAGCTGCTTCGGTATGTGCTTTCCTGTGCTTTTTTAGCTGTTGAGATTTTGGAGGGTCAGAAGGGTGAGGAAGAGATTTATAGGATATGAGGCAGAGACAAAATAAGATGAGATCAAATGGTTCATCTACCAGGAGAGCACTTTCCTCTCCAAGGGAGCAGCAGCATGCTCCCTGCCATTTCCCAGATGTGATGTGTGCGTTTGAATAGCAATATGGGGCTGGAGCTTCTGCCCCTGGAGAGGGTCTGCTCCGGGAAGGAGGATGTCGTGCATTGATTGAGACTGCTATGGTCACCAGTCTCCTTCCTCTGCTTGCAGAGGCCATAAATCTTCAGGAATTGAATCAGGTTGCAGTGCTCGTGAAACATTGCAAAAACAGAGTTCCCAGGTTTTCTGTACAGAGGTCAAATAATCCATTTGTCTTTGCGGACTTTAAATGAAAGGAAGTCTGCCTGTTTGCCGTTTCTGTTTTACAAATGTGCATTCTCACTAAATTATTGCTGAGACTGACCTTTTAATAAGAAGGAGAATCACAAAGGAGGGGAACAGAACAAAGATGTTTCTTTTTCAAAATTTGGAAGAATATATATATATATATATCCATATATCTCTACACATATACCCCCCTAGATTTTAAAAACTCCCATTTCCCTGTTTTTTGTTTTATTGTTTTAGCGTCAAAAACAAAAGCATGTGTCAAAGCATCCTGTGTCAGCCGTGCTAACTCCTCCTTCCGTTCGTCTTGCAGTGCACAGCTCTGAGCCAAGGCATCAGTCCTTGCTCCACACTAACAAGCAGCACCGCATCTCCTAGCACCGATAGCCCCTGCTCAACCTTGAATAGCTGTGTCAGCAAGACGGCAGCCAACAAAAGTCCCTGTGAGACCATTAGCAGCCCTAGTTCCACCCTGGAAAGCAAGGACAGTGGAATTATAGGTAAGAAGCACACTGCTCGGTAATGTAATGGCTCGATGCACGTCAACCAGAGCATTCACCAGGCACTTCCTAAGAGGGTTTTAGCATGGTCTGTGAAGGTCAGTCTACCAGGGCCTGCCCTGTTCTCTGCGGACAGCGCTGGCTCCATGTGTAGCTGAGAGAATGAAGCATTGACTTTTACATTCCTTGATGTTTTCTGCGTAAGACTCGGCTCATTTGGTTAAAAAGAAAAATTTTCTTTTTTCCAGATCAGATCTAACCTGTGAAGGTGCAAAAATTTTTCTTCTTCTCCATTAAGTTCTACTTTCTGGGCATCAGGTCCCACTAGGGCACATAGCAGGGCAGTGTAATCCCCTGCATATTAATGTCTTCCCAGCTAATCTCAAGGTCATTTCTATCCCTGATGACAGTTCAGAAGTATATTCTCTAGAGTTTCTTGTAATGGAATCTGACCACTGTTTTGAGGCCAGAATTATCTGAGGATGCCCTCCCTTCTACTCCTCCCCATAAACACAAAATAAGTATAGTTGTTCTGAACTGAGGGTCAGGAGACACAGGTTCTAGTCCTGACTCTTAGACCAATTTGCTAGATAACTTGAGCAACATTTAATTGATTTTTTTTTTTGCACACTTCTTTCTTTCTTTAGAAAATTAAGGATTTTAATTAATTCAGCAGCTTCCAGTTCCAGATGTGTATTAGAATCATCCAGGGAATTTAAGAGTTCTTATTTGTACATGCCATCCCAGACAGACTGCACTTACGTTTCTGCAGTTAGGCTCAAGCGTCTGTGTGACTCAGGTCCCCAGCTTGGTGCCTTTCAGATAACAGACAGGTGGGACCTCTGGAGGGGATTGGTCAGGCCTTCCTCTGCTCCAATATTATATTGCAGTTTCATAGTGGAGTTTTTCTGAACAACTCACCTCCTTCCCTTTTGCTAAGCTGTACATGCGTCTTTGAGGGTTATTTTATGCTTTATTATGGACTGATCACCACTTCCACATTCGTATGTAATCAAATGGAATGAATGACATCTGAGCCTTATTTACCTGCAATTTCTTTCAAGTATAATTTGAAAAACCTTTGCAGGTTCATCCAGTTTGGAGATTGCCCCAAAAGGTCTGTGCGATTCCTGGGACTGGGCTGTGGGCTCTCTGGTATAGACCTAACCATAGCTTTGTGACTTCTTGCTTCAATATTTAATTGGATCAGAATCTTTATTGGATTTTTAAAAAAATGTTGCTTTAATTGTTTTATTGAGATAAAATTTACATACCATAGTATTCGCCTATTTTATACCTAGTTTAAGCTATTGGATGGATTTTAGTATATTTCAAAGTTATGCAGCTATCTCCATAATTTGCTATTAAAACATTTCCATCCCCCAGGAAAGAAACCCTGTGCCTGTTAGAAGTCACTCTCTGTTCCCCACCCCCCAAGCTCCTCAGCCCTAGCCAACTAGCAATCTACTGTCTGTCTCCATGGGTTCATTTATTCTGGACATTTCATATGGATGGTAGACTGAATTTTGTGTAGCAAATTTAAATTCTTTTCACTCAACTTGAGGGCCTTCCAGTGAGCTTATTCTGCTAATTTCCAGTTCTTGTCTTACCCTTTTTCCCCAGCTGCTATTTAGTCTAGTTCAGCTAATTTTTCCCAGCATTACTTCTGTGCTTATTCCCTGTCTTTTCTGAGCTACCCACCATTGATAGATCTTTAGTATTAATTGTGAGGTAGCAAGATACCTTTCTTCACAGCATTCTGCCGAGAATTTATCTTCCTTCAAAGATGTAACCAGTGTTACATTTTTTTGACAGGCATTTTTTTTTTTTTATTGTATGTTCTGGTTATTGGCATTACATGCCTCTGTTTATGACCAAATCATGTTTTTTGTTTTGACACTTAAAATGTTTCAATAAGAGCACTGCCCTTCTCTCCCTCCCTCTCTCCCTCCCTCCCTACCCCTCACCCCATCCTTCATTGAGATGTAGTGCTGCAATTTTAAAAGTATTCTAAACAGAAGAAAAGAAGAGGTGATAGTTTGGTTTTTTTGTATTGTCAGTGAAAGAGTGAACTGCAGAAAGTTCTCAGACTTGATTTAATATAGCCCCACCAAATCCCAGACTGATTAGTCTCTCTCATATGCTCCCTATAGTGCCTCAATATTTCCTGTCAGTGTATTTATTCTTGTTTTATTATTTAACTTTTCTTCATATGGTTGGAGTCTCATTATTCCAACTATCTCTTGGTTTCCAAGGTTGGTGTTGGGAATGAGAAATTAAGGAAAGAGTTGTTGCTACTATCAAGTTGCGTTGAAGGAAGGAGCATTTGAGTAGTTTCAGAGTAACTATGCGGGCTTCCCGTTCCCATCAAGGCAGAGCTTAAAACACAGATTTTAGACGGTCTGGCTTTGTCAGACCGTTTAATGTCTGTGTTTTAAGCTCTGCCTTGATGGCAGAATAGTACCTTTCATGACACTGAGGCCGCCCTTCATTCCTGGACTCAAGCCAGTAGGTTCCCTTAACATAGCCAAACATGAAAAGTGGCGACAGTTGAGATGGAAGTGGGAGGAATTAGGCAGTGGTTGGTAAGTCCCGCTTAAACCAGAAGACCCCAGATCTGGAGGTCATGCTTTCCACTGCGTTAGCTGTTCTCCTGCGGGGTGCGAGGATTTTAGGGGGGTAAGAGGGAAGCACTGTGCTAGTGACAACAGTCCTCTCTGTTCTCTCTCCTTCCATGACCTGCAGAATTAGAATCTGTTGCCAAGGGACACATGGAGGTGTGGTAGGGAGAAGGAAAAGAAGCAAGAATTTCCTCTCCAGGCAGACTGTAGCCACAGGTCTTTGAAGAGGCAAGAGTGCTGGGGCCAGAAAGGGGGAGAGCTTCCTCCTAAGTCAATACAGGGTGTGCAGGTTCTGTTGCCTCTCAACAGAGCAGGTATCTATGACTCAGTTGTGGTTCTGTAAGTGCTGGAGTGCTGGGATGGGGGTGTGCCTTCTTTCCATCTGAAGAACATGCCTGTTTTTATAAGGTGTAGCCTGGGAATGGCAGCTTTTGGGCATCATAAATGTTTCACAGAGTAAAAGTATTCAAGCGCAGCACGATCTCACCAGGCAAATGAAGGTGCGATACCTTGGCTTCCTGCTTCGGAAGACCTGGCAGTGGCTATAAAACAGGCTGGTGAGGATCCATGTTTCCAACTACATGGGGCCTGGAGAAGGGAGGAGGAGGCTTTCCATTTTAAGTAGTTTAACGTTTGTCAAGCAACAGAGCTGGAGTTGGAATGGCAAAGACTTTAGTGGCGTGCTGGTGCGGAGTGCACCCAATTGCCGTGACCTTACGGACATTGTGCAGCAGTGGGCTTAAACCAGGGTTCTGTGTACAGTATTAGCACCGTTTATTAAGGGTGTTTAGGGGAAATCAAACAGTGCTAACGTATCCTTTATAATTCCTGAGCCTCCCTTTGCAATTTAAGCTGATTTCCATCATGCTGATTATATTTAATCTAAATATTTTTGCCTGGTAGATACAGAGAAGAGAAGCTTGGGTTCCCACATGCCCGGGCAGCCCTTTCAGGGCTGCCAAGGGTGCCCTACCTGTGTTCTGTTTCTACTGCTCAGGAGAAGGAAGAGCAGGCTAGTGACCTTTAGAAGAATGTATTGGGCCCCTTCCGGTCTTTCTCTGTGGAGGTCAGGGCTTAGAAGACTCCTCCCCACCCCCTCTCCCCATTTCAACTGTATTTTGTTATCCATAGGGGAGCCCCACTCTATCCTAATTCAGGAGGTCCATGTTCTTCTGACATAAATGTCTTTAGAAGTATAATAATTCTGCCATATAGAAATACTGTCTAAGCTGGATGGGATTAACTGAATTCCCTACTAATATCCTTTTTATTTTTTAAGTAAAGTGTCATATTCTTTATGTATTAAAAAAAATCATTGGTATTACCTAGAAGTTAGTGTCTGGTTTTCAAATTTGCAATGTGAAAATTTTCTAAATGTGAAACCCTGCTATACCCAATCACCATAAAGTAACTTTCAATTGCTTTGAAAAGAAAAACTCTGTAAAGAAGTATGCTTTTAAAGGTGTTTCCGCCATGTCTGAGAAAACATTTTTTCTTGGTAACACTCCTTTGAACATAACTTGCTTCCAGCTCTTACAAATGGAAATTCTAAGCTGTAGTAATCCCAACTTAAAAAAATATATATAAAGTGTATGTATTCATTGGAATGTGCGAAAACCAATATGATTTTCAAAAACATCGCTGAAAATAGTGGATTTTAAAGTGCTTTTTGTGTTAATGTATTCTTTAATTTTTGTTTATATCCATATCGTAGTGAATATTTTAATTGTGTATATTTATTTTGGGAAAATAGGCTATTTCTCCATTTAGGATGAAAGAGATAGAGATTGGATGAGGAGATACAAACAAAACCCAGCTCTCTTGTTAATATATATATATATTTAAATCCTATCTATTAATGATAGATATGCTGAGGAGAAGAATTTATAGGTAGCAATTAGAAAAATTCTGGCTGAGAAAGGGACCCTTAAGTCAGCCATTCTTTCCATTGTGTTTTGCTGTCTGTTTTGACTTGTTGAGATCGATAATCTCCAAAGCCTTTTTGTAGTGTCCTGCATCTGCCTCCTTTTGAGAAGTGGTGTCAATGAAGGGAAGAGGACTTCTACATGTTTCCTACACAGAGCAGGTGTGTCGTCCACCTACCCAGCTCCCAACACCTGAGCTGGCAGCCATGAGCCACCACATTCCAGCAGACTAGGTGGCTTTCAGGACGATTAAGCACTCAGAATTCCAGCCCTTCCTGCCTCCATTCCCTTCACTTTCTTTGTGCGTGCGTCTGTTGTCCTCTTGTTCTGTTTGAAGCGGGGAGGCAGGTATGCATTTAGACAGGGAAATGCCCTCTCAGAAACATTTCTCCTGTAGAAGTGGCTTGCAGCAAAATACTAGACACTTGGTTAGTATCCTGCTGGTGCTTGCTAG